TGAGAACTGTGAACAAAAATTAGTTACAGAGTTACATCTTTTTTTTTCAGCAATGACCCTAGAAAGTTTCAAATAAATTCCCAGTTAGCTTCTTGCATGTAAACAATCTGTGAAGCTGCTTACCATGGAAAATTTTAGAAGTCCACTGAGAGTGACAACACAGTTTCTTTAGGTCGTCTTTTACTCAGTGAACATCCAAATCCTTTGGTTTCCTTAGTGGGGAGAGGTGAAGACAGGCAGGTCCCTAGAACCAGACAAGAGACCACTACACACTTTCCCACCCCAGTGGTTCCCCAAGTGCACCCCAGGAAAGAAGCCCAGCGTGAAGAGTACACAGGGACAAAGCCCTTGCCATGTTCTGCATGTGTGCATCACGTTTGTATCATATCCAAATTGGCTGTACAATTTTGCAGGTGAAAACAGCAGGTAAACATTCAGCTGGAGAAGTAGGTACGTAATCCAATATTCTGGAATCCATCTCCCACCTCTGCACCTCTTCATTATTAGCTTCTTCACTAGCTGTGACCAAAAACTGCAGGACACATTGGTCCTCAGAAAACACTGGTTTCACTTCTTTTGGATCTTGCAGGACCACAGGTGTGACTCTTGCCTGAGCACACATGCCAAAAGCAAGCATGCAGCCTGCCACAGCTAGTTTTGCATTGTTTAATCAAAATATTTCAGCACGGAAATGAAAATCCTCTAAGGAGGCCTATCCTTACGTGCAAAGCTGGTTTTACTGGCTTCATCATGGGGAAACCAAATCCACAAAACTCCACCTTCTATGCTTCTCTTGCTACAGATAATAAAAGCTAAAGTATGGGAGAAGAAAGAAATGAATACCAGCCTGGCACAGACCTCAGAGCAAAGGCAAAACCCGATTTAAACTTCTCAGAGTGCAAACCAGCCATTTGGAACTGCAGGACGTTAGAAACAGAGGGGTTGAACCCCCTGAAAACTCACAACACTTCACTGATGAACTTTTTTGAAACTTAGCATAGCTTAACTAGGAGTACCTCCCTCCCAGTGTTCTCCACTGTACCTCTCCCACTGAGTCCAAGTGAATGATGGGGAGGATCAAACTACTTGGGATTGACCTGGAAGATAGCATCAGTTGCTTTTATATGTTTTTATCTTTGATAGCAGAATTGTATTTTTACTCTACATACTCAAGCTTTCAAAAGTCACTAAATCTTTTGGCCACAAATTCCCAGAAGGGCACTTTTCCAAGCATCTGACCTGTGCCTGAGAATTTGATGTCTTTCATATGCTCAGCTTTTTCTAAAAAAACAATAATAATGAAAAAAAATCTACAACATCTCAGATTAGGCAGCTAATTTTCAGCCTGCACTGGTGCAAACACCACAAGCAGCACTCTGCTGCAACCCCCCTGCCCCATGTAAAGTGCTTTTTCCTGCCTGCTTTAAAACAATCCTCCACTAGTTTAAGCCAGCTTCACTATTTGCTACGTCTAATAAGGAACACTTCTGCATTCACTTTGTCTGCTGTTTTAATGGATTCCTTAAACCTCTCTTCCCTCACTGCTTTGCTTTCTTCTCTCCACCTGGAGAAATCTCACTCAGTCCTTTTGGTCTCTCCTTACAAGACAGCTGCTCTATCCCTTCTGCCATGGTCCTCCCTGTTCCAAATCTGAGATGCCGAGACTGGAGCTGCAGGCAGCACATAAAGTTTTAAGATTTAGTCAAACATGTTTTGTCTTCATCTTGAAGCCTATATGCTCCTCAAATTAAAAGACATCATTTTCCAATGTAAAATTTTACCTATAGGGGCTTTGATTTCACAACTTGTGTTTTAGATTTAGTATTTAGCGTTCCTACTTTAGCCAGAAAGGAGTATGAAAGCAGTTGACTGTGCTTTTGCAGATGTAAAAATTCATTCTGATTGCCTGACAGAATTGGACTCCAATCCATTTTCAGAGAAGTCAAATAACAAAACATTTGTGCTTTTGAAATATATGTCAAACAATATAAAGTCTTGCAGAAACATTCCCAAAGCCACAGTGACAAACAATTGATCTTATGCTATGACCTCAGTACAGATGTTCTCATTCTAAAGGGAGGAAAAAAATAGGAATAATCTGGATGCTGTACTTTGACACTGAAACACCCAGTGAGCAGTGGAGCAGAGGAACAGCTTTGCAGTTAACAGAAGGGAATTCTTAGTCTTACAGGCAGGTATCATACCCCCACAATTCAGCCTCACCACAGCAGTTACCTCTCAGGGTATTGTCCAGGGGTCACAGCTCATCTCTCCAGGGCCTGTTCACTGGTGCTGTGTCATCAGCTGAGCTCCACCTGCAATAGCAGGGGATCATGAGAAAAATGGCTCATCTCATGGTCCTGGCCCAAAGACCTCCTGGTTCACCCTGTTCTTGTGTAGAAGTGAGCCAGTTGACATCTCAGGCCTGCAATGGCCAGCCCTGCTCTCACAGCCCACCTCAGTAAGTGCACACCCAGCTGCAGCAGCTACACCAGGGCCACCTCCACTTGTACAGGGGGGGCTTTTCTGGCATGCTCCACCTCAGGTACTCTACAAACACCCTATGTAAACATGCCCTAGAGAAAACAGATGCAGATAGCTCACGCTTTACACAGCCTGCACACAGTCCTGCTGTACATCACTGCGAGCAAGGCTCCAGTCCTAAATTACTGATTCAGGACCACTTTCATGCTACAGGATGGCTAGAGCCAGGAAAACTTGATCAGGCTGTAGTGCACAGCCTGGAGGGAAGACAAGGCTATGTGGGTTGAGACATTTCCTCTTCCCTCAAGCACAGATGACAGCAGCCTCCTTTCTCTGAACTGCCTCCTCAGGTAAAGGAGGTAAACAACTCCCAGTGGGACACACTGGCTCTGAGGCTTCCAGGCTCTTTGCCAGGAATTAGCATCCTATTTTTGTCTTCAGAGGACTCAGCTCCAGTGAAAAGAAGGTTGTCTCTTGTTTTTGACACTCCCCAGCTCACACTTACCATTGATGGACCAGTTACCTGGTGGAGTCATCCACTGCTGATCCACACAGTTAAAGCAAATGCAGCTTCTTAGAGATACACTTACGCCAAGTCCGTAAAAAATGCTGAGGTCTGCTCAATACACAACCTGCTACTGGAAGAAGACAAGAGCTCAGACACAACCCCCCTACCCCACCCAAGCCCTAGTTCCTACACATGCTTCCTGGTGCACACACCTTCATGAACCACAACTGCTATCACAGATGCAGACACCACAGCCTTGTCAGCCAGCAGGGAGAATCCCTGATACAATGGGATCTTAAGGGCAAAGTCCACAAAGCTGTCATTGTTTCAGCCACCTTCAGCACTCCACTTAGGAACACAGCCAGGTTCAGGGCAGCCATCCCCAAGGCGACTTCTGCCTGATTATGTCGCTACACAAGCTCCCGTAATGGCAAGGAAAAAGCAGGAAATACTATGTCCATACATCTACCAACATTTCAACCCCTGGCATTAGTACAAATGGCTATCAACAGTACTCCCTCACCTCTGGATACAGGTCTTGTACTTCGTCCTCCCTTCACTACCAAGCTTTAGGCTGCCCCCTTTCTTGCATCTGGTGCAATGCCATCTTCCAAAATGCAGGTATTTCACCTCATTCTCCCAACAAACATCCTTGCTTGCTGAGGAAATACCAGTCTTGGTTCCCAACATGCTCTAGCATCCATCTATATACACATTGTACACAAGAGTGCTGCCAATCCCTTTCTGGATAGGGAAAAATTGAAAGATCTGGAAGCACTGCCTGCTTTCTTCTCTTGCCAGCTTTCTAGCCAAGGAGGTCATGAAGGTCAAACTGGGGACTCGTTCTTTTGAACGTGGGAGGTGAGGGGCAGGGAGAAGGAAGCCTCACCTTGCCCCTGGCCAACCCATCATGCATGGTTGGATAGCCACTGATAGATAAAAGCTGTCCTCTGACAGCAGAGGGTGTGCATCCTGCAAGTGTAAATCTCCAGGGTGTCTCTCAGGCATGAGAACGTATCAAGACAGTTACTGGAATCAGAACTTTCCTCTGTGCCAACACTGGGAGCTCAAACTAAGGGCAGTGGGAAAAGACCACTGATGTGCTACAGCATGAGGAGGACACCCCTCCCAAGACTTGTCAGCCTCAGTGCCCGAAGCAGCTGCCAAAACAGAAGGTGGTCCATCTTCATTCAGTACAGTGCCTTTGTCCCAGCCCAAGTGGGTCACTTATGAACAGAGCTCTGCCAATTTAACACTAATTAAGCACTGGGGCACCTTAGCACAACACTGACTAGCAATACTGAGCCACACCACAGAGAGGTCCTGCCACAAGCCTTTACACAGCAGCCTTGAATCCCAACACACAATTGATCTTGACAGCAAATACTCATTTGACCAGCTTGCAAAACAGCTGGTTCCTAATACTCACTTAAGAGCAACAACACCTTGTGTTGGGTTCCAATGAGAAAAAAAAAATACATTGTGTCAAAAAACCAAAACAAAACAGCTCTCTGCCAAAGCACAACATTCAGCTTTCAGTAAGGAAATAACAGCAGTAATGCAAGCACAGGGAGGCAGCAAAGGCACAAGAGCTGCACAGGTGACTGTGACAGCCTGCACAGGACAGCTAGTTCAGTTTGCTTCCACGCTGTGGAGAAGACACAGACCTTTAAATCACCATTCCCACTCCTCCACAAATCTGTTTGAAGAAATTATCTCGTATGCAGCTTTAGGCTGGAGATTAAAGGCAGGAACAAATCCATGCGAGTTTAAAAAGTAAAACCTGCACAGGTAAAGGATTTTAACATGCACAAGTGTTAAACTCCTTTCCCATTGAGAAACCTCTGGCATATACTCTGTTCCAACAATTACACCATGTTATTAAGAAAAACACTCTCACAGTTAATACTGTATGTATATAAATAAAGGATTTTTAATAAAAAAGAAAAAAAGATGGTGACTAAATAACCCACAACAAACCATCCATTTTCCTGAGCCAAAGTTCATTTTATTTGCCTTTCTTCATTTTTGCAGTCTTTTCTTTCCTCTTCTTCACATGTTTTGGGATTTTGGTTTTCCTCTTTTCTCTTTGGGCTTCTTTTACCATCTTTTTCCTTTCCTACAAAGGACCAAACACCATTCATTTCAGGTCAGAAAGGAGAGATTTTGAGCAGGTCAATCAGTTGTTACATTAATAAGTTAATTAACATACCACATAAAAATGAGGTTAATTAAGAGGAAGAAATAAAGCAGAAAAAAAAATAGAAATGGTGAAGGAAAAGGAAGAAGGAAGTATAGGTTGGGGGTGCAGTTAAGAGCTGCACACTGGTTATGACAAGGCAAAATTCAAACCAGTTAAAATCACAGTTTCATGCAATCTTTGAAGAAAGGGAACAAGAGGGACTCTTAACTCATCCTATTCACACCTAAGATGACAACAGAATGCCTGATCTAGGTTTTCTGCAAACCACAGGGCTATGATATGTCTTTCTATATGTCATGCAAAAATACTCATTCAGTAGCTGCTGGTAACCCAGAGCAAGCAGTTCATCATCAGGACTGGCAAGAAAGGGTGCTGTGCTACTGCAATGCACCATCATTTGTGCCAGGCAGTGAAGAGATTACACTCAACTGGAAAACACAAAGTAAGCATAATGGGGTAGGGGGTGGAAGTAATTGCTGCAAATCAATTGTCCAACTCACAGCTGAATCTCATCTTACTGACACAAGAAGAAGTTCAAATGAAAAGCTATCCATAGGGATGAGAAGAGGCCAGCACTTTGCTGCTTCACATCAGCAAGGCAGCAGCTCTAGCTTGGTAAAAAGTGTCTAGCACAGCACTGCATTTTCATTTGACAGACTTGGAAAGTATTAGCTTACTTTTCCTAGGAAGAAAAGCCTAATAAGCAAACCCCCAAATCTTGAACTCCTTAAGCCCAGAAAGTTTCACATGCCTTTTCCACAGCATTTGAAAGGCTGCCAAAAGGCTCTCACCTATGAGTGATATACTGCAGAAGAGCCACACCAAAACAGAGCATACACGTTCTGCAGTTTGGAAAACAATACCTGCCCACAGCAAAGCTAGCCAGTCTGTACTCATGGTACTGCAAAAGCCACTGTAGTACAAATGTTGTCATCAAGCCTCTGCTTCTACAGATCAAGTGATCTCAGTTCTCCAGGCAAAAGGAGGCTAACTGGGGACCCTGACCACAAACCTGAACACCAGAGTCTGGAAGACTAGCCAAAGGCACTGAAGAGCTGCCCAGGCTTCACTAGAGTCTGTTTTGCATAGCTCTAGAATTCCCTGCAGAGGTCTCTCTTCTAGCTTTGTCTAGGGTATAGAGAGCTATGTTACATGTTCCTTTACATAAAAACACCATTAAAAAAGCATCTATGATGAAATTCACCTTCTCTGCTCACATTCTCCACAACAGGAAAAGTCCACAGCTTGTTTCAAACAACAAGCAGCAACTACCACTCAGGACTACATTTGGATTTTTTCTTGTCACATGGGCAGAGGTGGGAAAAATCAGCTATTCCTGGCCAGCTGACCTTTTTGTCCATGCCAACTTCAGCAGGTTTATCTTTGGGATGCACAGATTCCTTGCAGTCCGAATCAGAGTCCTCTGAGCTTCCACCATCATCAGAGTCTGTTTCTGACTCATCTGACTTCTCTTCAAGAAGTGCAGGAATCTGCAAGATACATCAAGAGAAAACTATATCAAACCAAAACAAAGAAGCCTGATGACAATACACACACACATATATATATAAAAACCAAAACAGTATCTTCTGCAAAGAAACCCTTGAGCGAGCTTGTGCCATCTCCTTTACTACAGCCATCACTGAGTCTCAAGAAAAAGAATGAAAAGCAGGCTAATTCAAACTAAGAACAAGGAATCTAGAATCTACAGCACAATCTTTTAGGCCAGGGCTCACAGCACAGCTGTGCTGGCACTCCTCAACTGATTTCCGTAAGTTAAACAACAATTTGGTAACATATGTGGAAGCCAATTTCTAATTATACTTGGATCATACCCCAAACTACCTTGGGGGTACTGTATGTAGGCTTTATTGCAAACACAAATATCTGCACTGGAAAACTCAATTATTCTTAAACAAGCCTGGAGACTGCCACAGCCTGCTCCCATCCATATTTATAATTCCACTTCAAAACAGTCTATACCACTGCTAGTAAACATTTACAAAGAATGGAGGGGGAATCCACACAGGACTTCTGCCTTGAATTATACTGCTGCAGGTTGATCTGAATCCAACTTCTTAAGCAATGTACTTTAAAGAAGTTATTTAAAATATAATAAGACATAATATGCCTTACACTGCAGGGTTGCTCTTTACATAATAATTAGAGCAAAGCTACCATGAACATATAGAAACTTATAGTTATGCTACAATTAAAATCAATCACACTTTCTGTAATTGGAAAAGATCTTCCCTCCTTTCCACCTTAACTTTTGAGACCATGTTGATATCAAGGATTATAATTTAATTCTCAAGCAACCCGGCATCAGCCCCAGTGCAAGGAAGCAATTCACATGGTGTGCAGACACACAGTGATGCCAGACCCCTCCCAGACATAAATGGTCACTCTGCAGACAAGAGACTTCTTTCATGGCATCAGCTGCAAGACAGGGCATTCTCTGTACTCCTCCTAAGCACTTCTCTGAAAACGGCCAAAATGAAGGATCTAAAAAGAGACCCTCTCACCTTCTGAACACCAGACAAATCCTTCTTCAGTCCTGTCACAGTCTGGTAGAGAATCTACAACCAGGGAGAAAGAAAATGACAGTCTGGTAGAGAATCTACAACCAGGGAGAGAGAAAGAAAATTACATTATCAAAAGATGAGTTTTAAAAACACCCAGGAAAAAACCACATAATGTTAACATTAGTACTAACCAGACAATTTTAAAGTACGACACCAGATTCAGTACTCCAGACCTTGGTAAAAAGGCTTCTGGTTTTGTTTGATGCTATCAATTCCCAGTAAGAAAAATTCATATTCCCTCCCTCTTTTTAGCAGTGCCTCAGCATATCTACTCACATTATCTTGCTGAACATTCAATGCCATATCCTCTTCTTTCAGTTTCATCATTATATCCACATCTCTCTCGTAGTTTTTAACTTCGGTCAAAGTTCGGGGTATGTAAGCTTTCTTAAATACCTAGCAGAGTGAAAGGAAACATAGGCTTTCTAATTTACATGTAGTTTAATGAAGTTTTTCCTTCCTAATTATGCATCCTTAAGAGAATAATCATGATGGATTTAATGGTTGAGAGAAACTAAAAATATAAACACAGCCATCATGTACTACCATTTGAACTTCTTCTTGCAGGAGCAGTTTTAACATGCAACCTACACATTACTGAGAGAGACCATGACTAACAAGGCAGCTTCTTTACCATGACTACCACCAGACCACTTACAATTTCTTCAATCCTTCCCACTTCCTCTTAACTTAACTTGAGTCCTAAGCTTTTGTATTCTACTGTTTTTCTCTAATGCTGTTATTGTGATGTTCACAACACCTTCAGGAGGCAAGTCCATTAAAACGCACTGTTGAAATTTAATTCTTTTATGCAGTAACACCTGCTTCAACCTACAGTCCAACTCAAAAAAGGTCCCTGCAGCAGTACAGCACAGCAAATCTAACTGCAGTATAAGAACATCACACTTAAAATCTGTCCTGCTGCCTTTTTAAAATAATCCTCTAGCAAACTTAAGTCAATACAACATCAGAGATAACTATTTTGCTTCTCTTTTGCCTGGTATCAGTTCAACCCCGGTACGAATTCAGTACAATTTATAACTGCTAGCCTGAATGCTGGGCAGAGCAGAGGCACCCACCTCCACAAACCTTCCCCAAAATCAACTCTACTCTTTTGTGGAGAAAGTGACATGGACTAGCCACGGTCACATGAGACGGCTAAGAGAAACAAACTGAACTAGATGATACTGACATGTAAGAGAGAAGGTTTACTAGCTTTACATAAACAAAGGAATAATTGGTTTGCAACAGATGGGCTTGCATCAAAACACTACCATCTGACTTCATAGTTCAGAAGTTGTATGCTAAGAACACCTCAGGAAACCAAAAAATCTTTCCTTAGCCTAGTTTGAGCCAGAAGCAGTTAGTAAAACCTGCAGAGCTCAAATAGGAGAAGAAAAGCCTTTAATAAATCAAGTGGTATTGCCTCCAACAGTAAACTCCAGGTGAGCCAGTACAAGTATGTTGCCACTAATATAAATTCCACTCAACATAGAATTGGGTTTCTGTTTGGTTGACTTTTTTATTACAGCTCTTCTGGAACAGGGAGATAAGACTAAGATAGAAATTATTTTATCTTTACAACAAGCCTTTCTAGAATATTAGCAGCTTTCTGTAATGAACCTGAATTGACTTCACTTAATGTAAAAGCAAGGAAGAGAAACAGCACATGGAATAACTGAATTAGACTGTGACTAGAGCTAGATGGCCAATGTGGTCAATGCACTTGCCCAAATATCATATGTACTCTCCTGCTGCTGTATCACTGGTCCAATAACACTGGCATAATCAGATATCTACTTAGGTTTTTTTGTTAACTGAACCTGAACTAGAAGATATATCAAGGGATCTAGCTACAAACAAACATAATAGTGTAGGAAATTGAGTACTTGCCTTCTAACACCTTACCACTGTCAGCTTTTACTCTTGGCATCCCTTACTACTTCCCATCTCAACTAGTTCATGACATCTTAGTATTACAAACAATGTTTTGCTTATCAACTGTGCATTTTGCCAAATATAAACAGAACATTTTTTCCTTGTTGAGTCGAGATGAGGTTAATGTAGGAACAGAAATCCTCACTTACTTCTTCATCCACTTTATCTTGACTGGATCTTTCCTCCTCTGTTCTTTTTGATGCTATTTCCATTGCCTAAAGAAATATAAAACAATACAAAGTTATCGCTCTTCAGAATCACATCACTTAATCCAACTAAATATTCCCATCTGTGCTTCCTCCTGTACTCCACACTGTCACTCAGAAACACTTCAGCATTCCTTATGGCAATGCCTTGAGCGACACCTTATGGTAACCAACAAACATCTCTGTGAAGCACACTTGTAACTGCAGATCTGCTCTATTAACAGTGGGAAGATGTGCTTGCTGTTCCTTCCAGACCAAATTACAGCAGGGTGCCCTTGTTTGAGCCAGGGTGAAGCAAGTTTTACTGTTTGTTTTGGTTTTTGGTTTTCTGGGTTTTTTTTTTCATTCAGTAAGCTCTCTCTTAACTAGCAGCAAGTTTTCCAGCTAGTGAACTAATAACACTGGAATATTTATGTTACTGCTGAGATGCCAAGGTTGCTTCACTTTGCCACCTTTGATGCTGCTGGGAGCAGTCCATAGGGAGGAGTGGACTAGATGGACAGCAAAATTGACCAAAGTATTCCATTCCATGCACCTACGTAAGCTCAGTGTAAGACCAGAGATCACAAAAGTCAACTTCCTTCCTGCTGCTTCTTCCCTTCTCTTCCATCAACGGCCTATGCCCAGGGAGGACTCCATCCATCTATCCATCACTGTTGATCCCCAGACTCGTGCACTCCTGACCCTCACATCTCCCCCATCAGCTCCTGTCTGCTCTGCTGCTCTCTCCAGCAGCTCCAAGACATTTCAGAACTGCTCACAGCTCAGGAGATGCCAGGGAGCTGTTGGGGGCAGGGGGAGGTAATAGGGTTTTGCACATTCCTGAGCTACTATATAATGGTACATATTTTCTTTTGTCATTAGTGTTTAATTAAAGCTGTCTAGTTCAGTTTTCAATCACAGAACTCAGCTCTTCCCACATACATGGAGCAAGCCAGAGGAGCACAAGCAAGGGGAACCACATAACACGCTTCTGTCTCCTTCAGTCTCCAGTATGACACAAAGTACACAACATCTGGCAATCTCCATGCTGTACTGGTATCTGGACCACACTCAGTATGTGCCTTGTGGTCTTGACCAAGAATGACACAATGAATCTCCACTCCAAGCATGGCATATCCCCCTTTTCTCCTGCATTAACTTAAAAAGCTTTATTTTTCCCCCACCTCCCTTTTAAAAGAAAATTCTACCGGGGAGCAGAGGACTAGCAGCTACAGATGAAACACACAGGTGCTGCTAGCAGCACTGAGTAAGTTCACCACATCTTAGAATCAACAAGTTCTGCCAGCTGTTGTATTTGACTAGCAAGACCATGTACCTTGGAGTAACACTGCCCCACGTCATTCTCTTTCTCCCTTAGCCAACCCTGCTCAAACCTGCACTCCTAATCCCATTTTCTATATAAGCATGGCTTCTCTTTGCTATAAACAATTAACTAATTTAAAGCATCCTGGTTTTAGTGGCTTCTGAAACAGACATTCAGGTTTTCATGATTAGACTTTTTTGAGAAAAGAGAATGAAAGTGTTGTCAGCCTATCATGGTATAAATGGGAAAGACTTGTATGCAGACTTGCATGCATTTTTGAAGCTCTGGCATTAACGTAATGTCACATATCAGCTTTCTTCAATAGCAGGATGTAGCATAAATGAGATGAAGGAGCTTGAACTAGATCTGATCTCACTGTTCAAGTCTTCCTACCTAATCAACAAAGCCATGAGGTCTTACCTTAGACAGATAATCGTCAATGTTCTCGCTTGTGATAGAAGGATCAGTAATAAACTCAAACAGCTCCCTCACAGTCATCACTGCAACATTGTGCTTCTGGAAAAAGTCTACCAGGAAGCAAGGGAAGAGACAAAAATCTCAGTAATGTTGTGTAACATTTGCAGCTGTGATGTTAAAGCAACAGTTACAGCAAGCCGATGCCCCTAATGACTTGTGAGAGTCTCAGCAGCACGTACTGCATAAGCCTGGGTTTAGTATTCAGATGCTTCTAGGCTATCTGAAATAAAATTGTTAATCTTTCAGATGCAACAAATACTGAAAGAAAAATAAAACTGGATAAATAAAAAAGCCAAATCAGCAGGAGCCAGACTTAACAGAATCTAAGTAGTAAACAATTTAAGAGACGTGTAGTAGTTGCAACAACTAAGACGAGAAATGCATTTCAAAGAACAGGGACATAGGCTTCAAATTTTCACCAAAAAGAAGTATCCAGTGAAACTCAGGACAATCTAATAATGATCAACCTAAATGAGGACACATTAACATGAGACTTTCCTCAACACTTCACTCAGAATCAGTTTGAGTCAAAAATATAATTAAAATTCAGAGGCTGCACTTCTGTACTGAAAAACTGCAGTGAAAGACAATGAAAACTGCTTAATAATGTTTCCTACTTAAGTTCTCAGAAGAATCTTACCATAAGAAATTAACAAAAAAAATCAGTTTGGAGGCAGCTCTCTGTGCCTAGGGAAACACAAATCTTTGCAATGTTCACAGCTCAGTAAGAACTTAAAGTAAGGTGTTTCTCAGAGCATCTGTGGGAGGACTATACAGAGAGAGTTGCAGTGACAGAAACCAAAAAAAAATAGCATCAAAACGCACACAGTTCTTTTTCCATAGATTTTGAAGAGTCTCTGTAAAATGAAAAGTCAAAAAAACCCAAAAGGGATAGAAAACCAGCCTGTAGTGGTGGATTTCTTGTTCTCAGAGAGGAACAGTCTACCAGGCAGTGTGTCTGTTGCATAACATGCATGCTCACATGAGACCAGATTCTCAAGAGAAATATACCATAAAAGTATTTTGTTTCTCAAAATACTATCACAAATGCTAATACATCTAATACGTTACTCTATGCCTTGATCCTCTCAGCCAACCTGAACAAGTGCAGAGAACTTCATAACACACGGTAACTTCTTGCCAACTGAGGTATTCCAGATACGGATTCCACTCACAGAAGGAAACACATCCATATGGTTGTGCAGTCTTTTAAGGGAAGTTAAGATGGGGTGTGTGCCGGCGCTGCAGACGAAGACTGCCCTTTAAGCAGTCTGGGACTCATCTGAGATCCATCATAAACGAGATTCAGCCAGGCAATTCCTAGCGAAATAGGCCACACTCTTCTGACCTCAGCACAGCACACCACTCCCTGAGGAAGCCGTGAGAGCCGAGGAGACGGAGCATTTTAGAAGAAGTCTGACAACTTCAAGTCAGTTACACCTGAAGGAATGCAGGTGACCACAGCTCATCTTCCCAAACCAGCCAGCAAGCAGAAGCGAGGGCTGAAGCAGCCCACTCACCGTTAACATTGGCGCAATCCTTCCGCAGGAACTCCAGCGCGTGCGGGTGGTCGTGCTCCACCGCCTGTGACACATCGATGATGTACAGGCCCCCGCTGTGGTACCTGCAAACACACACACAGACCTCTGCTAACTTCACGGATGTTATATGTGACATTACTGAGGGGTGGGGAACACACTGTCCTCTAAACCAAAGAATCAGCAAACAACGTCAACCCACTTCTCTCACCTACATATCACGTATTAGGGCCAAAGCAGCTTTTTCGGGTCAATCCTTTCCCTCCTCTACACATGCTGCTTTAATAAACTTTAAAGAAATAGTCTTCTTGCAAAAACAAAAAGCAGTGTTATGGGTGGGGAGAGACAAAAAATAATGATGCCTTACTAATATTTTTTTCCAGTTAGGGTTTTGTTTGTTTGTTTTGGGGAAGAGAGGTTGCTTGGGCTTTTTTTTCCTGTGTGTTTTGTTTGGCTTTTTTTTAAACAGACAAAACTCAGATGTGGGTTAAAAGCTACATAATTAACTACGTAAGGTACAAAACCCAGTCTTAAAAAAGGACCCCACCCTCCCTTAAAGGTAGATTAGTACTTTCACATAGAGGGTGCCAATGAATACATTTTGGATGTCACAATCCAGAACAAAGTTTAAAAACATACAGCATGTTAAATTCACTGAGATCTGCATGAACAAGTCTGGCATCTTGGTACATTCTTCTCATGTACTGGATGATTTGCAGGTACAGCTCCCGGACTTTGGAGTCAGATAACTGAGCATTCTTCAGCAGAGGAGCAGGCCTTGAAATGACAACACAGATGACAAAGGTAATACTTTTTCCTTCTTCAAACCAGCTGCAAATGCTTTGACTGCTGTACCTGATCCTTCTGCTCAATAAGGGAGTTAAGCAAGTCAGCATGAGCAGCTAAGTGCATGCAGCAAAAACCCATGATATGCTTGCCAAAGATACTGGAGCTGTTTCCAGTATGAACCAATTTTGACCATGCTACATTAATGTTTGTGCTATGAAATTATGAGCTATCCTCATGTATGATTAGAAAGCATTTCCACCCTTAATCACAGAATGCCAGGGACCTCATCTGGTCCAACCTTTCTAGGTCTTGAACATCCTGAGAGACCACAGGGTTTTGAAGTACCTCCATCAAACTCACACCAGCAGGAACCACTAGAGATTACATCCTTCAGAGAAGCATAAAACAAGGCTGCAATAAAACACACCCAGCTGTGGGGAATCTTCCCTCTCTGGTTTAGCCACCTTACAGATTCACTTTGCACACAACTGAGGCTTCAGAATCATGCAGATTGTCTGCAGTAGTAGCTAACAAATGTCTGTGTATTTCACAGGTCACACGCCCATTGTATGAATAACATGTTAATTTTACAGGCCTAAAGTAATAGCAGGTAAATTCAGAGCGTTGGTTTGTTTGTTCATAATAAAACATTGTAGAAAGCCACTAATAAAAAAGTATTTTCTAAGGATACTTACCTATCACCTTTACCAATAAAGCCCATGACAAGCACATGACTTCTCAGCATAATTGGCTCTGGGCAGGGTATCTGGGCTGTATTCAACCTGTAACACAGGAACAAAGCCACATTAAAAATAAACAACACAACACAAACAAACAAACAAAACCCCAAACAAATTACTATTTGCATTACACTAATGCCTACAGGAGCTCTATGCTTTAAACATAATACATCTGCAATAAGAGCTCCTCTACTTTGGAAACTCTCACTTGTGAAATTAATACAAATTGAAATTAATACAAAAAACTGCAACTGTTCTGGCTCTGACCCTCCTCTAAGCATTCCTGTGTTGGAAAAATAGTCTATTTTACAGAGTTCAGGTTAAAACTACATTAACCTCTATCACACAGTGTGCTGTTACTCAGAAGCAGCTATTTCTAGTTTTTCCTCACTTCTCCGTCATGTCAGCATTCAGCCACTGAAGAGCTCGGAACACGAGCAGCAAGACAAAATATCTTTATTCCTCCCTCCCCTCTTCGTTTTTTCCCACAGAGAACCTTAAGACACTTTCCTGAATATTCAAGAGGCCCTAAGAGGTAGCAACAGCCACAGTCTAGCAACAGGAGAGTATCTCCTTAAAACTTAAAATGTTCCAACTACCTTTGCATGCTGAAATAAAAACTGGAAGAATCACCTTATTAAATTCCTCATTTCTTTTTCAGCCCATGTCTTCACCATTTTTCTTGGGTTGCCTTTGCAATATCCATGACGAAATCTTTAAATCAAATAATAAAAGACAACAGGGACTTTTAGCCAATCAATGCAGCATTAGCACCTGTGATTTTACGATCTGTCAGAAAACTCTTT